TTGTTGTTTCGTTTCCTTTGCCTGGGTGTATAACGAATATTGACATTGGTCGCAGATAACCAACATTGGATTATTGCACCAAAATGACCACAATGAGTTTATTAAATCTTTAAAACGAGAGATACAGAAAAGCTGTCCATTATAGTTTATTGTGCGGTAGAAGACTGCAGGTTTTTCGTGTGAGTTTTTAAATTTATTTTTTTTTGTTCGTTTTCTCTTTTCGTTATCTCAAACGTATGTTTCTCAAGTTCCACTTATTGTACAATATGTCCTTTACACAAACGCTTTTAGTTGTGGGACAAATAAAATAAAAGATACAACAACGAAAAGCAAAATAAGTTCAGGCAGCCCAACAAATCGTAAACGTATGTGGCATGTTAGCTATCTGTACATGTGTCTGTTGGCGCTGTAGCTGCTGCTGTTGTTAGTTTCGTTGAGCTGTGGCGGATAACGTCGTAAAATTTTACTAGTTGAAATTTATGATATTGTTAAGCAAATATGAAAGGATTCATGCAAACAAGTTTATACCTTTTTGCCCGGGCGTTTTGAGGAACTATGCATAAAAGTTTTAGATCACAAATGTTACTGCTGCTGCTGCTGACGTTGTTGTTGTTTTTGTTGCCTCTGTTATGCATATAGAACGAGTTTATCAAAAAGTTAGCTGTCAGAGTGGGTGTGTAAAGGCAGCATAAATGTTCATTGTTGTTTGTTTTTTTTTCACCCATTTTAAATAAATAAAAACATTTTGTAACAGAAAGGACTTCAATTAAAAATAATTGGATTTTAATGACTTTATTTGTTGTTATTGCAAAACTAAAGCCCTTTTTCTGTTCGAATAACAACTATAAGGGGAAAGCACTGTAAATCGAAATATTCTGTATGGTATCCAAAATGTTAAGTGGTTTCCTAAGTCCTGGACAATGAAAAACACAATATAAACTGTTTTTAATTGTTGCTTAGGGATATTTTCGAATTAAAATAACAATGTCATTGTAGACGACAATATATTTGTCATAATTGTAGCAAAGGTGTATACATTTATTACTTCATACACTTTGTAATTCTCATCACAACAAAGGATCAATTTAGATTTTGATTCCCTGATGAATGAATTTGTCATGACCGAAATAAGAGCCGTTTTTAATATTTTAGTGTATATATTAGGTTGGGGAATTTTTATTTTTTTATTTTTATATGAACTATAGGACTTTATTTAACATGCTTCGGAATGTTCGATTTGGGACAAATATGAACCGTTTTTTTGTATGATATGTTGCCATTTTAAAGGTAACTTCATAATGCTTCTCTCATAGAAGTCCTGCTCTCTATTTGAAAAAAATCCCTAGTGGTCGATTTTCACATTCCTCTTTAGATACCAATTTTTTATCATTAAAAAAATTTGCATTGCAACAAAAAGATGATAATCCCTTGGTGCCAAGTCCAAACTGTGTGACAGATGCATTAAAACTTCCAAACCAAGCTCTGGAAGTTTCTAGCGTGTCACTGTAGATGTGTGTGGCCTAGCTTTGTCCAGGTGGAACACGACACCTCTCCTGTTGGCATATTCTGACGGTTTTTGGTCAATTGCTATCTTCAAACTGTCCAGTTGTTGACAGTAGAAATCAGAATTTTGCGTTTGGCCATATGGAAGTAACTCTTAGATAATAAGAATAAATAATCCCCTTCCAGTCCCACCAAATGCATAGCCGAACCCTCCTGACCGTTAGTCCTGGTTTGGCCACCGTTTGATGTGCTTCACCGCTCTTTGACAGGATTATCGTTTGTGATCCATTTCTAATCTTCAGTCAACTTCCGTTTAAAAAATGGATCTATCCGTTTGGAAAAGGCTTCGCAGATGGAAATTCGATCCATTCTATTTTTTTGTCTGTTAATTGGTTGGGCAGCCAATCATTTAGCTTCATTTTGAAGCTAGCTTTCTGTAAACAGTTTTATGCACGATTTTTAGCTACTGGGCGATTATACGACTGCTAACATGCCGGTCAACTTCGATCATTTGTACGATTTTATCGGTATTTACGACGACCGTCCTAATTGATTTCTGTTTCCCCATCCTAATATTATCTAAAAGTGTTTTCTCAAAATTGTTTAAAGTTTTTTTTTTTTTTAATAAATACAATATTTTAAGACACGTCGTAGCTAACTGGCAAAAACATCAAAGTTCTTATTTTCAATTTTCTATATATATAAAAAAATAATTGCCAATTACCTCAATAGACACTTAAATTACATTTTAACAAGCCACTTACTTAACAGCGATTAACAAGTGAGTGTGTATTTTCACAAACAAAATACCCTTGAAGAGTTCATTTTCTGCGTGTTGTTTTTCCCATTCTTCTTCAGTCTAAGACCCTTTAGCTATAAATCCACCTGTCTGCCAATGCCACAATAAATTACCACAAGAATTCGACAAATTCTGTTGTATTTTTTGTTCAATTCTTCATCATCAAATGTTGAAAAATTTCTCATTTCATTTTCAAAGCTTGTCAGATATGGTTTTCAACACATGATAAAGACACTTCATTGCAATTTTGCTTTTGGGAAAAAATTAAAATTCAACAAGCCACGTTGTTGATTGGATCCCGGGCATAAGTGAGAAAATAAAGAAAATATTAAATGTTTGTTGCGAAAATGTTGGAATTTTATGAAGGACATATTATTTGTTCGCTGGCATTTAAACGATGCTTAAGCTGCAAGTAATGCTGCTGTACGTGTACAATTTTTATGTGTACTGGGCAAAGCGATGTCATCAATTTATTGTCTAAGCTGCAGGATATTAAACATATATATGCTGTTAACAGATATAGAAATCATAAAATTGGTATTTATATGTGTAAAAATAAATTAGATATTATTTTTTAATAGCTTTATTTTATATGTTATTAAAAAATGTAAGTCTTTTCTTACTCAATTAAATAGAAAGTGAAGAGGAATACCAAATAAATACCGATTCGTTATGAAATACACCGAAGACCATCAATGACGCTTTAATTAGTAAATACGTCTAAAACTTTGGAATTTTCGGTCCAAGGTTTTTCCAACCACCAAGAATCCGGAATGGCAATTTACAGCCACTTTTAAAAAAATCAATATTCTCTATCAAAAGATAGACTTATATTGAAACCTCTCTCTACAGATGTTTTTTTCATAATTTTTTTCCAACCACCAAGAATGCGGAATTTACAGACACTTTGGATAAATTTACAGGCACTTTGAATAAAATCAATATTGGTTATATAATATGATAGACTGATATTGAAACCTCTCTACAGATGTTTCTATTTTTTTATCAAAAAACTATTTGTAATATCAACATATGTTTAAAATTTAAAAGCTCTATATTAAATATTGTGGTCACTATCGCAGTTTCAACAGACGAAAAATGTTCATTAAAATATGAACTCATATCAATATTTCTTAGCATTTGCTAATCGCCCCCAACAAGTAAGTGACAATTATTTACACAAACTAAGTTCATCAAATGTTGTGTTAATTTATGTCAGCCAATGATAATCATAGCTTGTATGAAGATGTCATCTCAATAATAGTCATGCAAATGTTCATTTAATTGCAGTGTTCATTGCAAAGCTTAAATTTATGAAATATTTAATATTCACTTCCACCCGACTGGCTTTTGGAATTCTTCTTTAACCCACAATTATGTATAGTTTAGTGATAGTTATTCTCTCGTTCTCATTGCTAACGAAATCCATATATTTTCCAACTAGTAGCTGTGTAGCAACAGTGCAGCAATAGTATCTGCTACTTTTATAAAACACTTGCATTTTCATTAAATGCGTAATTATCAACCTCCCACCCCAGTCATCAACACTGCACACACACACACATTCGCATACACTTTTGTCAACACATAGACACCTCCCTCTCTACTTACTGCTACGTTCAGTTCATAAAATATGATGGCATAACGGGAGCTTAGTTTCTGCTGCTGTGTTGTTGCGATAATAATAACAATTTATGTTGTATGTTTGAACAATCACACGTATACACACACACCCGCCCGTTCACATACACAACGAGCTACTTGTGCATTTATGCTTTGCAATGTAATTAAAATTTAAAAACGTCATTGCAATCCCTTTCAACTCAAATTACTATAATTTTGCAGCAGTAAATGAAAAGTTGTAATGTATAATTTAGATGATGTTGCTGCTACTTCTTCGAATGTTTTTGTTTTTGATGTTACTGCTATTGCAGCTGTTTATGACGGCTGCATTTGTACTAAAAGAAGACGACGACGACGAAGAAGAGGAACTGCAACTGACATCAAAAATATAGCTGCCGGTGCACTATAGAAATATAATTGCCACAAATCCTTTTGTCTCGGAAAAATAATGATAAATTATTTGCTACACACAAACACATGTTGTCATACATACACACAGACACATACATGCACAATACACGCCCACTTGTACACCTATAACGTTAAGGTGGCATAAATGATCTTAAATTGTTATGACACGTACAATGGTGACCCAGTAACGCCCACCTCAAGTATGTTGTGCCTGTTTGTTGAAGTTGAACGGAGGAAATGAAAATGGGGTTTCTGTTTTCTTTTAAAGCAAAAAGAAAAGGCTAGGTACGTGAAAATATAAAAGTATTTAATTTGATGGTCAAACATCCAAATCCAAATGTTGTTAGAACAAATATGGTGTTGAATTTAATTTCATCTGTTTTAATCACCTCTCCTCCCTCTTAATCCCCAATATTACATACATAAATTATATTTTTATCATAGATTAAACTGAAAATCAATTTCCTTATTACATAAGAATAAACAAAATTGTGCCAAATTATCACTTATCCACCCCAATATTTATACATTATGTGAAATATTAAACAATAAATTTTATGGTAGGCGTTCAACTAGAATTCTGTTGGCATGTTTGCATCCTCCCCCGGGTGCTCATATTACAACTGTGTGTACTGAAATTTGCTTATATCTAAAACGAACTTACTTCTTGAGTGTGGCCGCCAATGCTAGATCCGGTCGAACATCAAAACGGCTTTGCATATAGAAACGCAATAAATTATCGCGTTCATTTTCACGTAATCCTTCATCCAGAGCCACAGCACCTAGTGTATGATACGACTCCGATTCAGTTATGCCAAATAATAAATCATAGCTAAAAAGGGAAGATGAAGAAAAAACGTGAATGAAAAATTGTGTGAAAATTAAACAAGCCAAACATGTTGATGTTGAGCATAAATGTTAAAGTCATGTGACCTTTGTATATTGTACGGCTGGTAAATAGAAATAAATTACTTGAGATATTTCTCAGCTAAGCATTAAAGAACATTCGAATGGGTTCACATATTTTAAATAAAAAATAAGTAAAAATGTAATGGGATTTGGCCGGGTCGATTTCTTAATTTCATTCTCCATCAAAAAAAAAAAAAAAAAAAAAAAAAAAAAAAAAAAATAAAAAATAAAAAATAAAAATCTTTCAGGCATTTCTTATGATATCTACCATTTTTTATCTTTTCCAGACATTCATGTGTGAAAATTGGGCAAGAGTCTACAACAGACTAAAAAAGGGATCGGACCTCTATATCGTGTATATTTCAAAACTGGTACGTATATTGGAAATGTTTTGAAAGGAATTATTTCACTCCATTAGAGCCCGAAATACCAAATGTTTGCCCCTTTAGTTATAAAAATGGGCCCAGGATCATTAAATAGCTTAAATGGGGTCGAGACATTTATATGATGGCTATGTCAAAGTAAGGACTTATATTGAACATATTTTTCGTTCATAACGTAAATTTTACCACTCTCCATATAAGTGATCTTGAGATTCATATTTTAAACCATAAACATACAAATAGTACAAAATTTGAGAAAACGGACTGTAGTGCTTATGTAGCACATCAATTAACAGTAGCTGAAATGGAGTCCAATGAGTTAAGAAATTTGTAATCAAAGCTAAAAGCGACGACACCTATATATTCTTTATCAGAATAAAATTCTATGTCGATTTACGCATGTTCGTCTGCCGCAATATTTAAGATAGAGCTCTGTAATTCTGCACAGACATAGTAAACCATCCATTCGTTGTCCACGTTTTGGTGTAGCCCCCAACGGATTTAGGGATTTTGGACACGTTTTCCAAACGAATTGGCTGTAATTTAGTATTGTGGGCTCTCATTGTTTAACACATCTCCGTACCAACATTTATTAATATTGACCCAAGTTTCAGGGTGACCCCATAAAACGGTACTACCCAGTATTCGGAATTCTGGGGATTTTTGGCACGTTTTCCAACGAACTTGCGTCATTGTTTAGCACGTTTCAGCCCATAAAACGGTAGCCCCACTATTATAGATTTTGTGAATGTCAATCATCTTTTTTTACGTGTTTTTCGTTTTGTTAAATCATTGATCAACCAACTCTTAGTTTATAATTTTTCCCTACCTTCCTTTACCCATTTGAATATACACACTAATGAAATGTGATTCTTGTAAATGGAAGGAAACATGCCGATCCACCGTCCCATCCATTAGTGTGTTAAATGTTAGTTATGTGCCACTCACCCATATCCAGATGAAATGTTAAATTTCTACAACTTTGGCTGTGACTTCAAACACCATGGCAACAACGGAAACATCAAAGGAAATGCAATAAAAACCTTTGTTCTTTAAGAACCGAAACTGTGTTTTTGTTTTGTTTTTTGGTTCCCTTTTCAAAATAAATAACCCAAAATGTTGCAGTGGATTTGTTATATTTGTTCTCTTTAGTATAGAACATAAATTCAAAGGCATTAAAGTAATGGCCCAAGCTTTGCCAAACGTACGAAAAGTAACAATGGCAATAACACCAGCAGCAGCAGCAACAACAAAATCAAACCACAGACAGAGAACAAACAAACTAATTCCCCACAAAAAAAGTGAAAGAACGAAAATCATACATACCGGCTAAAGTGTTCTGTGTATTGGCCCATTACTTTATAGGGTTGATTGGGTATAACATGACCATCGACAATGGGACCCAATGATGTTGAAAATTGTGACAAAGATGTTGGTATCTTCATAATGTCCTGATAGCTGTAAAGAAAGAAACAAACAAAAAATTTATATAAAAAGGATATTTTCTTAAAAGAGAAGGCTTGACAAAGAATTACTCTAATAAAAATGGCAAATAACAGAAAAAACATACCCCGAATGAAGACAACAAAACAAGTATTTGCAGAAATAAATATATATGTGTTACATTGTAGAATTTTACACGTCCAGAGACACACATACACACATATATATTTTTATGTGACATTGTGTGCACACGCATTGATATGTATGTAGGCTAATAGGGATTTTTATTACGTTTCTTTTTATTTTCTTGTTGGCAATATTTTTCCTTTGCTTTGTTTGTGGCTAAAAACGAAAGAGAATCAAAAACACATACACACTCACATTCGCATTCATCCAGACAAAAAGGATTTTTAATGCTTTAAATGCTTTAGGTTTTGTTCAGTTAGTCCTTGTCCTCATAAATACTACTGATACTTGTTGCAAGAGAAACAGATTGCCTAACTCCCACTTAATGGATGTTTTTACAAAGTTGGGGATACAGTGGAATATCTTATATGAAACCATTTTCAAAATAAAAAAATATATAACAGCTTTAGTGTTTTTTTTTTTTTTGCAAATTTATAGAAAAACCTTAATTTTATGGCTTATCTCATGCATCACATCACGAAATGGCAGTGATATAAAATTTCCCATTTCTTGTTCATTAATGTATTTTTAATATTTAAAATGGCTTTTAATACGAACGCCTCAAACATGCTATATATGTAAATTATGTTTATCAATACGAGTATGTATTTCTCCTTAGTTTACAGAAATTATGTATCTATAATATTTCGACACTTTGCTGATTGAATATTCGTTGCAAAATATACTTTTAATATTGTATTTCTCTTTTTGCTAATAAATATTTATGAAAAACATCACCCATTGTGCTTTGTTAGCATTAAAAAACTATAAAACATATGTTTACCGCAAAAACTGAATTGAATTACGAAATAACGCAATTTTGAAGTTATTATAAAAACAAATATTCATTTAATATTCCAACAATATTGTATGGACGCACGAAATGTTTACCAAAGATATGTGTTAAAAAGTTAAATTAAATTTATAAAAACAAAAACGAAAAAAATAAACCCACTTTCATAAATAAAAAATTATTTTTTATAGTCATACTAATAATGTTAATTGTATGAAGCTAAAGGAAGTTAATTCGAAATTCCAACCCGTTTGACATTTATTGATAAAATTCTACTATACTACTTGAGGAAGGAGGCAGCAGGCGTTTCAATATAAGATTACCCCTATAGTCCTTTATTTAAGGGTTTGGCCACTTTTTTTTAATCGAATTGGCTCTGATTTCATTTTTAGGCACTCATGGAGTGTCTCCCCATTGTCAGTATGTTCAAAGTTTTAGGCCTTCACCACACGGTGAATGTCAAAGTACAGTTCGCATTTATGAACGAATTGGATTAATTTGGCACAATTTCGCCCAAGGACAAACCCTATTGATATAGATATAGTCCCATATGTATTCTCCTCCGATTTTATGTAAATTGTGCACTAAAGAACCAAAATTTGTATGTCTGACACACAATTTTGCACAATGTACTGAAGATAATATAAATTAATCTCTGGCAAGTTTCGTTGAACTCGGTTCAGATTTAGATAAATGGTGCACCAAGTGACACTAAATTTTTCACAACGTATCGAATTGAGACTAGAATGACGTTAAGGCGTTTTGTTGAAATTGGTGCAGATGCAGACACAACTTGCATATATATTTCAAACGGGTGATTGAGTTTAAATGTTGAAATGTTGTTTGAGTGCGGTCTACCGAAAAGAGTGTATCAAGATTGCTCTAAATCGATGTACATAAATTTGTCCCATTGTACCCAAACGACTCTAAAAACGCACAAATGAAATCAAATTTAGCATAGGTTGCAGAAAGGCATGTGTATAGATTGATGTTATAAATAAGATCATCTTCATTTCAATGTTCTTTCGAGGCAACACTGACATGAAATGGTTTGGATACATATGTAGAATATACCCAAAGTGGTGAAGGGTATCACATAGTCGGCCAGTCCGACTTTACTACTTTCCTTACTGGTTTGTAATTGTATTAGCTGTAATTTGCATTCCGGCATATTGGAGGGTAAAATAAATTTTTTTGTGAAAATAGTCTATATAAGTCATCGAAATGACTATCAGATTCCTCGTGAACGAAAAGCTTCTTACCAGAATCTATTAATATACATATGCTAATTATCTGTATGTTGAAGTTCCTACGCCAGTTTTCCAACATTATGTTTTGTAATTTGGAACATTATATTCAAAACATGAAAAGCCTAATATCTCATATTCACACCTCGTGGTGGAGTGTATAAAAAGTTGGGCCGGCCATACTTAACGAATTTTTTATATTTTCTTGTTAGTAAAAACACCAGTCTCAATCTAGTTTTGATAAAAAGATATTATGGAGAATAAAAAGCGTAAATTAATGTTATTAACAAGTAGTGATATACAAGAATGTATGGGCATATAGTGTTGATTCCTCCTTCTTCAAATTATTCCTTCAAATTATTGTTACCATTTTTCGTATCCATTGCAGAAATGTTAGATTCTAAACAAAAACCATTCTATGTCCATTTAATCATTGAAAAATGTCCCACTGTTTCGTAAGATTTATTGCTTAATGTTGAGTGACTTGAATCGTTTTACTAAGTTTTTCAAGTACATTCATTTTACTTAGACCGAAATGTTGCTCAATAACAATGTAAAAGAAAGTGTATAGGGCGAAAAGTGTTACATATGTATAGGAAATATTTATGTATGGCCTTATAGTTGCACTTCAAATGCCTGCAAACAAGACATTCTATATAGAATATTTTACAAAAAAACATAAAGCTTAAAGTTTAAAAATATAAACTCATTTGAAAACAGCTGCAAACATACGCATGCACGTTTCTATATATCTTAAATATTGCAATACAACAGCAACAACAACAACAACAGCTGCAAGTATTCAATGACTTGAGCGTGTAAGGCCAAAAGGAGGAAGACAACATTCAGATTTATGTATTTTCCAACATATTTTGTCATCCTCAAAAAGTTAATGCAGTCAAGTGTGATTTATGGTATAAATATTTAGCCATATCTCTTTCTCATAGCTGAATTCAGTAACAACGTGCAGTGGCAGGATGTGTACGAGAATTGAATATATTGTATAGCTGCAGTTCTGATTCAACATCATCAACAACAACAACAACAACAACGTTCTCCACAACAAGCAACTATTACAACACATTTTCCTTAGTACCTTTACAAGTCAAATACTCAAACAAATGATTTTGTTATAAAGCCATCAACGGTTCAGCCATTGTTTGTTGGCAGGTGTATGTCGCTTTTCTCATCATTCCTCTTCATCCTACACTATCCTTGTAGTATACATCTATTTTCCAACATGTCTGTCTGGATTTGATATACAAAATCATAGAACCATACCTTGTCCACCTTGGCCTGTTGCTTGGATAAAACCATTAGGATATTTCACCTCCTCATAAGAAGCTTTTAGGGTAATGAAAAATTTTCGTTTGAAATATTATTTGGAAAATTGCTGTCCTTAAATGTCTTAGCCAAATATATATGGAATAATAAGATTTCTTTTTAGACATTTGCCGCAACAAAAGTAAATTCTTTGGCCAAGAGATTATAGAGGTTGGTACGCTGGTTGGTACTTGACCACACAATGTAAAATATTATTTTGAATTAATAATGCTATGACCTAAAGGGATTTAGTTGTTGCAGTTGTTTATATTAAATATAGAAGAAAAAACGAAATAAATATTTTTCAACAACAACAACAACAAAACATATTGTAGTCAAAAACACTTAGAAAGTAAGGAAACCACATTATTTAGTCTTATTCAAGGTTGTACAATATTGTAAATTCAAAGGCTTTGCATTTACATGGTTGTTTAAGAAACGTCCTTCTATAATTTTTGTATGCTGTAAATTTTGCATGCAAACACACACAACATAGTTCTCCTAGATTATGATATCTAAGGCCAGTGTAATCTTATATGCTTGTTAAGGCGGCATTTATGTAAAATGTGTGTATGTGTATTAGAGGGGGAGAATAAAACATTAAAGAAGTTTGAAATTAGTCGGACAACCGCAATAAAAAAACATATATGTTTTTAAAATTAGGCATGAATTTATTTGTTTTTAAAACATTTAAAGTTTAGATATAGGTTCCATATATATATATATATATATATTCATCCGATTTCATCAAAATTATGCACGAAATAACAATAGTTAGGAACAATTAGTGCACAACGTACCAAATCGAAGCTAGAATAACGTGTATTGGATTTCGTGTCGATGCCACAGTTGCTCAAATGTGTCTACTTATGTATCTATGTACGTAGTTAATTTCGCCCGATTCCATTTCAATGGTCCTCCAAAGATGCTATGTCTATTCTATATTAAGGATATTGTATATATGAGCATCTATTGCGTGTACCCGACTATAATATAGTCGACCCGAGCGAGTTTTGAACGTTCATTACTGGTTTCAAATTATTATTCTGCTAAGATTTTGTTTCATATTATAAATTTAGTCCCCATACGCATGGTATATGTTATGTTATCAGTCCAACTACTATCTTAACTATTCCGCTTGTAACTCCCACCGACAAACCACATATTTGCCGGAATTAAAACAACTTAGTGTAAATCAAGACTAACCGCATATTGAAACTGATTGTGTTTTGAAAGTTTAATATACATAGATATTGTGGTTTTACACGCTTTAATAATTGATTGCATTAATATTATTAGTTTTAAAATTTAATTTTTTTAATTATATCAAGTATGTTTTTACGCCAATTCAAATGATGATAATGTTTATATTATTTGTTATTTTTAACCACAATTTTTTCACTTAAACCAAATTATATAATGAGAATATGGGCTTGGAGTTTTGTTGAAAAGTTCAACAATGTGGC